TGCTTCGATTCAGAATTTCAAATCAGGTTTGGTTTTCTAATAATAATAAGCTCCTTAGGAGTTTGATAGCTGATTGAAGCCATGAAGTTTTCAGCTTTGGGCTTATTGGTTGGATTTGGGAAATAGCAGCATCGTCTATTTCGTTTGTCTCTCTCTTTTGTTGGGCTTACAGTTGCTTGTGCTTGTATTTGACTTTCGTGTGCTTGTGTTGTTGCCTTGCTTAATAAAATAAACGTCTATGTTCTACAAGTGTTTCTGCCTATTATTTCTTTTTTACTATATGGGGATGTTGATTTTGGCCTCGAGAAGGAGTCCGGATCTCCTGCACTCCCATCGTGGAAGTGGTGCACGCATAGAACCATTGGCATTCACTCTTCAAATAAAGGGATGCCAAGCGACCAATCTACTGGGCCATTGACTTCTGTTTTGTATCATATATAATTTCCATCTTCCTTCTAGTAAATTTTACTAAGGCTGTATTTGGAAATAATGCAAATAGAGTGTAAATCACAGTTCAGTGTAAATTTGGCAACAATACATTTATGCCTTGACAAATGACAGACCAATGCATATTTACATTGATAATAAGATGTAAAAGTTGAAACACAACATTGGTTTTGAGAGAGTTGAATGCAATACTTGGATTATTGAGCAACTTGTGTATTTATACATACAGGAGAGGAGACGTAGGGGATGGGAGAGTATAGAGATAAACACAGTGCTGTTACACTAATGATAAGGATAGAGAAGGATAAGCAATATATATAGTTGGGGAAACCACTTGAAGCTTGTCGCGTAGCCAATTGAAGCGTGATAGTCCAAGAGGCTTGGTGAAGATGTCCGCAACTTGGTCCTTTGTAGAGATGTAACAAATAGAAATGTTCTTGGTGGCAACATGATGGCGCACGAAATGAACATCTATTTCAATATATTTCRATCTAGCATGGAATATTGGGTTGGCAGCCAAGTATGTAGCACCAACATTGTCACAACAGAGCACAGAAACAATGAGAGGGATACCAAGCTCTAGGAATAGGGACTTGAGCCATAAAACTTCGGAGGTAGTTGTGGCAACACTGCGGTATTCAGCTTCCATACTGGACCTAGATACAGTGCTCTGCTTTTTGGAGGCCCATGAAATAAGATTATCACCCAAGTAAATGCAGAAACCAGTTGAGAGTTGCAATCAGCCCAATCAGCAACTGAGAATGCCTGGAGAGAGAGAGAAGTGGAGGGGACGATGGCAGCCTTGCAACCCAGTCACCTATTGTAGGACTGTACATGAATTGGCATACCTGATTCACAGAGTAGGAGATGTCAGGCCGAGTGAAGGACAAGTATTGAAGAGCACCAACAATTTGTCTGTAGAGAGAGACATCAGCAAAAGGATCATCCCGTGTAGGAGCTGTAGTGGCTCCCAACATGGAGACAGCAAGACTGAGTATAACACGAATAGTTGTGGGCTTGATGATTGGGCTGAATGTCTCTTGAAAGTCAAGATCCTCTCTTTGATGAAAACCCTTCGCAACAAGTCAGGCTTTGTATCGTTCAATACTGCCATCTGGGCAGCGTTTCACATGAAAAACCCATTTACAGCCCAAAATGTTTTGAGCCTCACTCTTGGACCGTAAGATCTAGGTGCCATGCTTGATTAAGACAAGGAACTCATCTTCCACTGCTCTGCACCAATGGGGTTCTTTATTGGCTTGGGTGAAAGTGGTGGGTTCAACACTATGGGATAGGATGGGGCATTTAGTGGAGGCATGGGCTTAACAATAGTCATATTCAAGTAGCTTAGGACTGGGTTTGTTAATACCAAATTTGGATCTGGTGGTCATATGATGTGTGTTAATGGTGGAGGGAGCAGCAGGTGGTGGGGAAGGAGGTTGTAAGTCAGAAATGGGCTGATCATGGTCAGGTTGAGAGTTAGTATCAAGAGATTCAGGTTAGAATTATGGGGGTAATTTRGGAATTGAATTATATTATTTTAGGGATAATACAAAAATATAATTATGGGATCCTAGGATTTTAAGAATTTAGGGAAAAACTTAGAGATATTTTAAATATCAATATTAAACCTAAAGATATTTTACTAATTTACCTTCGGGTTTGGAGCAGGTTCGGGGAATTATATACAAAACCCGTCCTCACCCTKTCCCCAGTTTGGGGAAAAAATATTTTCCCCTTCTCCGCCCCATTCAGGATGGGGTGGGGCGGAGCCCCGGTTATACGGGGGAAAATGCCATCCCTAATGACAGGTGCAAGTGTGAAAAAATGAATGAGAGGCAAGATAGGAAGCTCCCATATTATCACAATTTATAATTAGTGTTGTGGGTAGTTGAACCCCAAGATCTGTTAAGAGAGACTGTAGCCAAAGTACCTAAGTGGTTGTGTTGGTGAGAGAACAAAACTCAGCTTTGGTACTAGAGGATGCAATGGTTTGCTGCTTCTTAGCGCTCTAGTTGATGAAGTGAGAGCCAAGGAAGATATAGAAACCACTAGAAGGCCTTCTATCATTTGGGAATCTAGTCCAATCTACATCAGAGAAAGCAGTGAGATCCATAGTGGACTGTGAGGAGAAGAATAAGGCATGATCCAGGGTAAGTTTGACATACTGTAGGATTTGTTTTACTACCATCCAATTTTAATCAGTTGGGTTGTGTAAAAAATTGACAGACCTTGTTGATGGCAAAACTAATATCCGGCTGGGTGATGGTGAGCTATTGAAGACCTCCAACAATACTCCAATACTAAGAGGGATTGGAGAAAGGTGTGCCATAAAGCTTCAATAGCTTAGTAGAAGCTGCCATGGGAGTGGAGAGAGGCTTGATCCCATCTAGGCCAGCACATTGAGGGAGATCAATAATATAGTGTCGTTGTCTTAGATAGAGACCATTATCATTCCAGTGAGCTTTGATACCCTAAAGTTAGTGTAAGGGCCCAAGGTATTTCAATTTAAAAGTTTGAGACAAACCTTGTATAAGAGATTGAATCAATGACGGGGAGGTCCTGGTAAGCAACACRTCATCCACATATAATAATGAATAAACATGGTGATCCCTCATGAGTAGATGAACAAGGAGGGATCACAACAAGATGCCTGGAAACCCAACTCAATTAATTTTGAACTCAAGTGAGAGAACTATGTTAGACAGTTTTGTATGCCCTTAACTTCAATTCGATTTAATGTACTTTTG